TAGATCTGTACAATGGTATGAACTATACCATCACAGTGAGAGCTGGTAATGTATTAGGAGGATCTAATGCTAGTTCAGTTGAAATAGATACAATGCCAACAGGTATGTACATTCTTGAAAGTTTATTATTATGTATTATAGTCCCTACCAGTGTACCTAATTCTCTGTCTTTACTACAACCATTTAATAATCTCACTTGGAATGAGGTCAATTGTTCTGAGCGTAATGGTCTAATCACAAGCTATGCAGTGATGATCAGTAACAGTAGTATCACATACAACCTCACCAGTACTGAGAGATATATCATATTGAATGATCTAGTATTTGGTACTGAGTATAACATCAGTGTAGCTGCTGTCAATTCTGTTGGAATAGGTCCCTTCAGTGATACTCTTATAGTGGAAATTAAAGCAAGTAAGTATTTAAATATATTAGATTTATGTGACAAGTTTATTTAGTACCTGGCCCAGTTGGTTCAGTATCCAGTATCATGGACACTACATGGGCTGTTATCTCATGGAGTGTACCTAGTTATATTCCATCAGACCATCCCATTATCACATATGAGATAAGATACCATATGTTACAGTCTGGTAACTGTTCAATGGTAGATGATGATGGCATTAATATTCAATTGTTCAACCATTATAATAAATTCAGCAATAGTACACTTACTGTCATCACTGGTCTGTATAGTGAAACCTGCTATATTTTTAGTGTACGTGCATACACTGATAATGGATATGGTCCATGGACATTAATAACTAATGAGACATTAACCCTGCCAATAAAACCATCACTAACATTATCATCGACATCATTGCAAACAACAAGTATAAATTTATAATTATGGTTACCTTTTTATTTTTGTTTTATAAAACAGTGACTACTACTATAAAACCAGAAAGTAGGTTTTACGTTATAAAGATATTTATATTACTAAAAATTACTACAGTTACGTTATAAAGATATTTATATTACTAAAAATTACTACAGATACTTCAACTATTGTGACAGTTGGAGCCTCAGGGGTTGTTGTGTTTTTAATTGCTCTATTGCTGGTGATGATTGTTGTAATTACCATTTTCATAAAGTATATTCCAGTACTGTAATGCTTATTAAAAATTGTTCTTT